TGTTTGCGCTGCCTTCCAGCCGGCCGAAAAAGAAGCAGTGGTTGTGGTCATGTCCCTGGTGCCAAGCTTAACGAAAATGACCACAGCCACTGCTTTGTTTCTGCTTGCTGGAAGGCGGCAACAAAAGAAAAGCGGTGGCTGTGGTCGTTTTCACGTCCCGTAGCTGGTCCCAGGGCCCGAGAACGGCTTCTGGAGGGCGACATAGGAAGAAAACGCTGCCGCCGAACAGCTATCCACCCGCCCGACGCCCGGGCCCAGGTATCCACAACCGCTCCCGGGGGGGGGGGCCTCTCCAGGGGCGCGCTCCGACGAGAACTTGTCGAGACGGACCCGGCCATGGCCACGAGGGCGCCGCCAGAGGCCCCCAACAAGCTGCAGGCGGGCCGTCGGGGGGGTCCGAAGCTGCCGCTGGGCACCTCCTGCAAGCCGATGCCGCGCCTGGTGTGCCATCCCGGGCCCCCGACGTCATGACTGGCGGCGCGCACAAGGGGGCGGGGGGAGGGGGGAGGGCTTCTCAGAAGCAGGCTGCCTCTTGGACGGCGCCGGCCTTACATCTATATATAGACAAGGCCCGCGCCTTCTGAGAAGCAGGGGTGCTTCTGAGAAGCCCCCCCCCTCCCCCACCCCCCTCTGCGCGTGGCTGGCATGACTTCCTCGCAGCGTCGACCCCCCTCAGAGGTCCCGACCCCGCCCTCGGGCCGGGCTCCTCGTCCCGAGCGGTCTCCCCACGGCCCTGGGGCCCGGCGGAGAGCTCCCAGAGGCCGAGACTAACACCTCGAAGCGTCCGTCGTGGTAGGTCTGGATCCTCCTCCTCCTCCTCCTCCTCCTCCTCCTCCTCTTCCTCCTCCTCCTCCTCCTCCTCGTGTCCTAGAGGGGGAGGGGCTGAAGGACAGTTTTGCTTCCAAGACGCGGGAGTATGGGTCCTACCCCCCCCTTGTTTCCCGAGCGTCTCCTCGTGCGCCTGCTCGTCGGTCGTCAGGGGGGCGATCCAACACGCGTCGGCGCAGCCACGCTCGAGGGCCGCGCCCAGCTCCGCGCAGAGCGTGCCGTCGGCGGACCTTTCTGGGGGAAGGAGGAGGAGGAGGAAAAGGAGGTGGAGGAGGAGGAGGAGGAGGAGGAGGAGGAGGAGGAGGAGGAGGAGGGGGGGGCTGCGGCTGCCTGCGGGGGGGGGGAGGACGTCTGTCAGCGGCGAGCCTGGGGGGGAAGTGAGGATGAAGGGGCGGGCGTTCTCAGAAGGCTCGGAGGTCCCCCTGGCCTTCCTTCTGAGACTTGCTCTGCGCCGTCCCCGAAGACACAAAACCGTGCTCAGAAGGCCGGCAGGCTTCTGAGAAGCTCCGCCGCCTTCTGAGAAGGCCTTCTCCTTCTCACCTTCCCCCCTCGCTCGCCGCCGTCTCTGCAGGAGGCCCCACACCCTAGCATCCTGGCGTCGCAGCTTGTTCGCAACGGGCGCCCTTTTGGCTTGCTTCGGGTCCAGGGGCCATCCGAGATCGCTCCGGCTCGGAGAGGGAGAGTGCGGCAGGAAGTCCGGCTCCAGGGCTCCGGTCGTGATTCTGCGCGGCGTCGCACCGCTTTCGCCAACTTCGGATCTCAGGGCAAAGGAGTTCGGGTCGGATTCAGGAGACCCCAGGAGGATCGGGTCGGAAGCTTAATTATTGGGCAATGGAGACGCACGGCCGTTTCTGGTTCTGGTTCCGTTTGCATGCTTTTGGGGGTTTCTGGGTCCGTCCCACTGTTTATCGGACTCCGTCGCCGTGTTCTGTTATGGTTTCGGTTATGGTCCCGATTCTGCTTAACTTCTTTTGCGTTTTGATGGGCATTGTCTTAGCGACTTTACACTCACAAGCAAGAGATTCACGAGCGGTGCAAAGAAAAGCGCTTTGCCGCTCCCAGGGCCACAGAGGAGCGGACGCGAGGGGCTGCTCCACTGCAACACTGGTGCTCTGTCTTCTGGGCCACCTAAACTCACGCATCGCGCCCCGCGGTGCGACGACGACGGTGGTGGTGGTGGCCGTCGTGTTCGTGCTCGTGTTTGTGTTGGTAGTCGTCGTCGTCGTCGTCGTCGTCGTCGTCCTCGTCGTCGACGACGTCGTCGTCGTGGTCGTCGTGGTCGTCGTGGTCGTCGTCGTCACCGTGGGCCGCGCACAGGAATCAAACGGTGCATCCAAGCACTGAGTCACTCCTCCCTTTCCTCTTCTTCCTCCTCCTCCTCCTCCTCCTCCTGCCCCCTCTTCCTCCTTCTCCTCCTCGTCCTCCTCCTTCTCCTCCTCCTCCTCGCTGCCCCGCATTTCCTTCGAAGGCTGCAGCTGCAGGGGGGGGGGGCACTTCGCTCGAGGCAAGGAATCTGTCAACCATGGATTCCGACTGGACGGTCGAAGCGAGAGGCAACGACAAGAACAACTACACCTCGCATGCGTGCCTCGTGAGCGCTCCACAACATGCAACAACATATCGTGAGTGCTTCGCAACGTCCCTACCGTTGTTTCGCAGTGACGTGGCCGTGCACGTCTTCGAGCATCTTATGCAATGCAGCAAGGTCCACCACCCTCGACGGCTTCTTCAACATGGACGCTCCATCCACCAACTCCTGACAAGAAATCTGCCCGTCACCGTCCGCGTCCAACATAACGAACACCTTGTCAATATCTACAACGTCGAGCCCCATGTTGCTCAACCATTTCACCACCTGCTCGTTGTCTAACACCTTCTTGAATTCGTCGAGATCCGCAAGCCCACTATTGTCCTTTTCGGCATGAGCCCACTATCGTCCTTATCGGCCTGTTCGAAAACTCGTTCGACGTCGAGAGCCGCGGCTTTGAACGTTTCGTTGAGGAAAACACTAAGGATGACTTCGATCACTGCAAACCCAAATAAGAGCTGATGGTAAGCACAGAATATCACGAGCAAATCTATGGAACGAGTGAGAAGTGGGGTGATGCTGTACAAGTTGCCCTGCAACATCTCTGTGATAATCAAACGTGACTTGGTGAAAGTGCCGGAGTTCTCGCAGAGTTTCTGCCTGTCGCTGAGATCAAACTTGTCACTGCCCTGGTCCTCCCAACAATCAGTCAGCATTAAGCTCAGACCCAACGCAAGCATCATCTCGCCTAGAAGGATTCCGGCGCTAGACCACACAAGGGCTGACACACTGCCCTTGATCCATTGCAGCATTAGGTAGAGCGAGGCAAAACCTCTCATTGTCTTCACCACCCGAAATAATCGAAACAATCTCGCCATCCGTGCCAAGCGGATCAATGTGGATGGGAACGGAAGGTCGCTCGAGAGCCGCTCGAGCGAAAAGACAGCAACGCCGGAGAAATGGATCGAGCTCCACATGGCCTTTGAACACTCTCTCGGTATAGCCACGATCTTCAGTACGAGCTCAAGTGTAAACAAAACCCCGAATAATCACTCGATCCCTAAGAAAACATCATCAGCCACTGGTCATGCCTCATCAGCAAGTTCTTCGTTGCCCTGCACCACACCGGCTTCGTAGCCCGACTTCATCCCTCTGTACAAGGACTCCGCTGCGATGCAGATGTCCACCAGCGTCTTCCCGAACTAGATCATGCGCTCGGCGGCTTTTGAGATCTGCCTGTCCTTCGAGCGCACAGGCACAGATTCTAAGCCGGGCTCAGAAGGCTCCGACCTGTGAACGGCGTCCCCCTCGGGCACGATGGACACCAAGCGGGTGCCGCTCGGGGGTGCAGACGCACACCTGTCGGTCGCACTCACGTTGGGCTGGGGCATCACGCCAGGCAACTCCACAGTGCCGTTGCAGGTCCCACAGTCGTACGTGGCCCAAGCTGGGGGGCGTCACCATTCGGCGGCGTGCGCAGGAGCTCCCAAGACGGCGCCTCGGGGCTCCCGCGCCGCAACGGCCGCTGGTGCTCGGCTCGCAGCTCGCGCAGAAGCTCCTCAAAACGGCTGGGCGCCCCTTCGCTCATGGCGGAGGCCCAGCCAGCGCCCAGGGGGGCAAACAAGGGTCGCCCGAAAGGGGCAGCGCGCGGGGAGCAGGCTGCGCCGGGGCCTGCCAACTGGGCAGCTTGAGAGGAGGAGGAAACGGAGGAGGAGGAGGAGGAGGAGGAGGAGGAGGAGGAGGAGGACGAGGAGGAGAAGGATGAGGAGGAGGAGGGCGAGGAGGAGGAGGAGGCGGAGGAGGCCCTACTCCCCTGGAACTCCTGATCGGAACGCATCCCGTGGGGTCAACTCTGAAGGGGGTGGCCCAGACCAGACCCCCACCGCGTCGTGAAGCAATCTCGACGGGAGGCGCCCGGCCGCTTTTCCGCCCTCCTGGAGCCTCTCGCCAGGCCCCCAGGGCTGTAAGATGCCCGTGCTCGTGATGAGAAGCTGGTCCCAGGGAGCACGAGGAGGAGGAGGAGGATGAGGAGGAGGAGGAGGAGGAGGAAGCGGAGGAGGAGGGGGGGGGAGGAAGAGGAGGAGGAGGAGGAGGAGGAGGAGGAGGAGGAGGAGGAGGAGGGGGAGGAGGAGGAGGGGGAGGAGGAGGAAGAGGAGGAGGAGGGGGAGGGGGAGGAGGAGGAGGAGAGGAGGAGGAGGAGAAGAGCGGAGGAGGAGGAGGAGGAGGAGGAGGAGGAGGAGAGGGAGGAGGAGTGAGGTATTGCGAGCCCAATCCCAACTTTGCGGGACTTCGGTTGGAGAGAACTTTCGAGGCCCAACTCGATGATATAAGATATGGGGGCGTCCGGGGTACGTTGGCACAGCCATCGGTGTGTATCCCCGAGTTCCCCTTCTGTTCTAAACAGCATGTACTTCTTGGGGTTCTCGGATGTTTTGGGCGCGAAATCGCCTACGACGATAGAGGATCGGTGGACGAGGACCAAGGTGTTTGACTCTTCATCAGCACCGCGCACGGGGAACTTGGCAAACCAGAACGTTAGCGCACCCGAGAGAGCTGCAGCCGATAGAGATTCACTCCTTGTTCGCTCCCGCTGGATGTTGCAAAGTCTCGGGGCGAACGATGGAGTCCGTCCAGACCAGTTTTTCGAGCTGCGCCCAGCCTGGGCGAAGAGAACCTTCAGAAACGCCAAGAAACTCCGAAGAGAAGACGACGACGTCGTCGACGCAGCTGGCTTCGAAAGAGCAAGATGGTCACGGAGGGGGGACCGGCTCAGCGACGCCACGGAGAGCAGAACATCCCTTGCCGCGTACCTGCGATGACCGAGGCGACGACGATTATGACGGTGACGGCAACGGCGACGGCGACGACGACGACGACGAGGACGACGACGACGACGACGACGACGACGACGACGACGACGACGGCGACGACGACGGCGGCGACAAGGACGGCAACGACGAGGACGGCAACGACGACGACGGCGACGACGAGGGTGGCTGCGACGAAGACGATAACAGAGACGGCGGCAGCAACAACGACATATTCATGATCTGGAGATTCTCGGCGCCGGGATAGACCCCTAGAGAGATCCGGGACACTTTTCTAGCGGCTTCTGGCGGAACAACAGCGCCAAGGCCGGCGTCGGCGACGCGCCAGCTCCCGCCGGAGGGGTTGCAAAACCGCCCTGCGGTTCGTCAAAGGCGAGAACGTTTTTGAGGACGCCTGGCGTCATGCAGCAGGTCTGGCCCTCGGCTGGCGGTCCGGATGTCTGTGCGGTCATCATCTCCCCAAGGGGTGTCGCGCCGATCCCCCGGGCCGTCACAAGCGATCCACGAGCCCGTCCCCTCTCCCTACGCACACACATACACGCACGCGCACATAAACGCACAAACACACATTCTCTCTCTCTCTCTCTCTTCTTTTTCTGTCTATCGCTCTCTCTCTCTCTCTCTCTCTCTCTCCCTGGATTTCTCCCTTTCGCTCTCAAAGACTGTCAATGCATATCTAGACCACCATGTAAATCAAATGAGCAATGTCCGCAATCATGTCACGGGTATACGAGCGCATGGTCGGCGCAGCGACACGTGCGACCCTGATCAATGTGAAAGCACTGCACGTGTGTCCACACTGAGCTCGAACATGCGAGCGTCGTCCCGTAGGACCATCGCAGTGTCCTGCGGTATGTTATGCGTGGCCACGGATCGAGCCAAACAACTCAGTGACAACATATTCCAAAACTAATGAAACTATGTTTCCATTCACGTTATGTTCCGTGCTGCAGCCGTAACACTTGCAATCGCACTTACGCGCGACCAATCGTTGGTCATGGCTGTGCTGAGCTGCGCAGACTGGAAGCCCAGGGGCTAGCCGGAAAAACATCATACATTGAGGCCCGAACTCTACCCGGGATGTGCATTATTCGCGAGTTCCCGACGGTATTCACAAATTTGGGAAGTTTGCGACACCCAGAAGCACCAACCGAAGAGTGGCAACAACTCATCAAAATCATTATCATCCTTCCCTCGTTCCTACGCACCCGTTTACTCAGGGACCTTCTCCGAAAATGGCAACGCAGAAGGGCGCCGAGGACCTGTAATCATCTGGGAAACCACGTACCGAACACAACCAGGAAGCCTCCAGAGACCGCAAAACGCATCAGAAGTACGTACCGTTTTGGACGGTGTTCGCGAGCGCTTGCTCGCTGGACTGCTCCGCCTCGAAGGGTGGGAGGAGGACGTGGAGGATGAGGAGGAAAGGCAGGAGAAGTGAGACGCAGGTGGGAGAAGAGCAGGGAGGGAGAGAAGGAAGAGAAGGAACGAGCGAGCGAACGAACGAGCTGTCACCGCCGCAAAGAAGAGACCCGAATATGGGCAACAAGGGTGCGCGAGCATTCTGGTCCTTCGGGAAAGGACCCGGAGAGAAATCAATACAAGAAGAGTAGGAGGAGGAGGAGAAGAATGAGGCGGAGGAGTAGGAGAAGGAAAGGGAGAAACTGCAGCAGCAGCCTACCTGAGAAAGTACTCTGACCAAGAAGGAACAGAAGGATGAGCGGCACATATGAGCAGCAGCACACGAATTACGAATTTCACGAGGCCCTTGCCCAAGAATGATCAACATCCCAACGCGCGAATGGACTGCACTCTATGAAGGCACTGTCGCCTTAGGATCACGAACCTTCGCGCGAGCCGCCTGGAGGCACAGGGGAGCGAACTGTACTGGCGAAGGAGGCAGGGAAGGAGACGATGATGATGATAATGGTACTGATGATGAGGATGAGGAGGAAGCGGAGGAGGAGGAGGAGGAGGAGGAGGAGGACGAGGAGGAGGAGGAGAGGGAGGAGGAGCAGAAAGAGGACGACGCCGTGGCCGACGCCTCCTCCGCCTCTTCACCTTCCTCCTCCTCTTCCTCCTCCATCTCTCATCCTTATGAATAACCCCTTTTGTCGCACCCCGATGCGGGTCGAAAGGGCGGGCCCAGCGTTTCGCCTGAGACTTCCTCATCACTTGAAACCTGCAACTTGAAATTTGCAACGGCTTCACGGATGGAAAACGGTCCGCTTTCAAAATTTGGCTCTCGCCTCAACGCCGCGCATACCCGCCTTAAATTTGCAGAAAGTTCCACCGATGGAGGCCGGCCCGCCATCAAGTGTGGCCTTCGCCTCAGCGCCGCGCACGTTCGCCTTAAAGAATTACCAGAGTTCCATGGATGCGGGGGCGGCTCCTTTACAAAACGTGGTTCTCGCCTCAGCGCTGGGCACATTTTTTTAAGAGTTTGCACCAGTCTCAAGGTTTTTCACTGCTGACGTCCACGAAATGGTGTTTGGGCACGATGTCGAACATGTCAGGGGGCAACACTCAAGTTGATTCGCGGTGTTGGATTCCCAGGAATGGTGTTCTGGCACGATTCAGATGCAACAGTAGCAGTGATTCGCAGCGTTTGAGTCCCAGGAATGGTTCCGAATGGTGTTCTGGCACAGTTCGGGATTTTCGAACAATTGCCTTCCAACGGGGCACTTCCCTTAGTGAACATGAACCCTTGTAGGGGCCCACCGAGGGGAAGCTTGACGGGAGGGTTCATCGCAAGATCGTTGATGAACCTTGGGTTTACACTGGTCTTCCTCCTCCTCCTTCTCCTCCTCCTCCGCCGCCCCCTCCTCTGACGACGACGACGACACACCTCCGACGCCGGCGACAGCAGCGACGACGCGCGGCAGAGACCGCGCCGTGCAGCGGAAGCGCGCCTC